CTGATGGAAGAGAGTTGGGATTTTATTGATCCTGAGTCGGATGCCTTACATGTCATTCAAGGTATGATTTTTGGCGCGGATGATTCCTAGATCGAGTTCATCATTGAGATATTAGAGATATTTCCTCTAGTTTTACTAGTATTTCTTTCTCTTATTTGAAGGAATCTACGAATCGAGATTTTCACGATTTAGCGAGAGGCGCAGTTTCTGTGACTGATCGCTATGTTTGACAGGGTTGTTTTTCTTCTTGACTTCTTGTATTGAATTTTCCTTGAACTATGATATGATTAATAATAATTAATGTTTTTCTCTTAAATGAAAAAATAAGAGTACTTTAATCTCAAATTTTTAATTTGGGGGTTTCCCTTGAATATTACTAAACTAAGGCTGATTTTCAAAAATGTGACCACTTTTACATTTGGACAAAAATGTGACTAAAATAAAAGTGACAACCGAATATTCATGTCACTGCCACATTTTCATGTCACTGTCGGATGTCACAGCCACCATCGCCCGCGTCACTGCGGCCGCCGTCACCCGTGTCACTTCCACAATCATCGCTTGTGTCACTTCCGCCGCTGCAGGTCACCGCCGCCGGTCACAGTGACACCCCCATAGTGACACCACCACATCGAAACCACCATCGGCCGCAATGACACCGCCGCAGGCCACAATGACACCACCACAGTGACAACACCACGGCCTCCCCGCTTTCCAATCCCAGTTATTGCCCCCCGCCCTTCCCCGGCCATTGCCATTGCCCTTGCCCCTCCCCCTGCCCACCGTCCACCGTCGTCTCCCCTGCCCCATCGGCCCGTCCACAGCCACCACCCCTTCCCTGTCCTATCCCACCGCCCCCTGCCCCTCACACTAACCCCATCCTCTGTCATCCTCTATTGCAACGGCCGCTACCGCCCTATGAAACCATTGCCAAATCGAACCACCGACTAACCCTATCCGCCACGAAATAGAAGGCTAAGATCTAGATCGATGAAGAACGTTGGAGCTCCAGATCTCTTATCTCGGATCCAGATTTAGGGAAATGAAACCTTGACTGTCGACGAAAAAGCTGGAGACACCATTTTCGTTATGTTCTCGTCGTCTGCATCAAATCCCCGCCACCGACGCCTCGCTAGAGTCCTGTCGTCCTTGCTTGGCAGTCACGTCGAAACCTCACCGACTAGTGGGGACACAACAAAGATGGAGATGCAAGGACAACATGCAATACGACAGTGTGGAGTGGAGAAGGCCTGATGACGGAGAGGTGAGAAGATGAAGAAAGTCTGAAGAAATATAAACGAAAGCTCTTTGGACGAGAAAATGGAGACGAAAGTGTATAGATTATATTCATGCCATTCTTTCTTTTAATTTTTGTACTAAAAGTTCTCGAAACAACAAATAGGGATAGAGAACTAGGGAAGTAATTGATAGTAATAAATAAAAACTATAACGTTGGCCCGATAATAATTGTGTTAAGGAGTGTTTGGGGTTGCTTAAAAAAACGCTTTTCAGTTTTTGGATTAAAAAAAGTTGAAAATAGTGTTTTCAAATGACAGCTTCTGCTTAAATTAATTACTTAAAAGCTGGAAGCAGGTAGAAGGGTGTTTTAAACTGCTTCTCACTTTTTCTATTACACAAAAAGTACTTATTTTACCAAACACTATCAACTTTTACTTTTTCAGAATCACTTTTTTCTCAAACACTACCAACTTTTACTATTAATCACTTTTCCCAATATCACTTTAAAAAATCACTTTTTTAAAGTTCAAGCAATTGCAAACACTCCCTTAGTGTGTTACGTAGGTCACCGGCTAATAAAAATACTACTCCTTGATTGTCTTATTTTCATTTTTGAGTTGTTCCAAAATGAATGTAATTATGTAATATTTACTTTTTTGATAAGAAATATGTCAATCTTATTATTTCAACTTATTATAATAAAATATTTATCACAATTATTAATTTTCAACCACTTCCTTTCAAAAAAACTTTTCAATCACTTTATTAATAACTGTGTCAAATTGAAACATGACAACCAATATATGACGGAGGTAGTACTACCCATTTTTTATACACCCCATAATTAACTGATATTAAGAAAACGGTAATTGTGTGATCTTAAAGTCATGCGGAAAGGAAAGAAAAATTTAGAGTGGGAAAAGCTAAAAACGAAATAATGAAATTTATTTTGTGAAAGATGGACTAATAAGTTATAAATATACCCTTGTAGTATGGGGGTAGGAACTAGGAACAAATATATCTTTATTTCAGTTTTTCGGAACAAATATACCCCTAAAGTATATGCTGAAGTGTATATATACCCCTTAACTTTTTTATTGTAAAAACAGGCGACTTTATATTAAAATCAATAACGCATACAAGACAAACTTTAAACATAGAAAAGCATTTTTAACATTAAGAGAAGTGGTTATTATGAAGAGAGAGACTCTCCTCCCGCTCTCTAAAAATCCAGCATCTTGAATTTACAAATGGAATTCCGGCACCAACCTCCACGCCGGAATCCTCACTACCTTCTCGTTGAACAGTGTTATTACACACCAGTGACATACTTCAATGACTGGAACAGTGCTGTTATATATCATCAACCTCATTGGTATACGCAACCCCAGGCCAAGCCCTCACATAGCAGGCTGACGAACAGAGCAACCTCATCATCTAGAGCAGGTAAACGCTTCCAACCAAATCAGCTTAATCAAAACTTGCAAAAAGCCAGATTTTATCCAAACAGCAGGTATCGGACTCCTGCACATCGACAAAGGCATTATGCCACAGCTAATTTCAGACCACCCGCCGGAGATATCACTGAGCATCAACGTCAACGGTCAACACCTAGCCAATTGGAGAGACGACATCACCAGCGTCGAAAGTCTAGGCCGCTCTACCAAACACAAACAGGGGAAATAGACGAAGGATGGCGCAGGGTCACCTACAGGAGACGGTGCCACCCCCCTCCTCACAATCAACGATTCCAGAAATACCAACGCCTTCATCCAGAAAAAAATAGGTGTGCTGGTAACGCCAATCGTTACCAAAGCCTGAGATTTGACGATGACATTCTTATTTCCGCCCAACCCTTCGAATTTGAACCTGAATCAGATAAGTCATCCGATCTGGACATTACCCAGAGAAATAAGGAGAATCAGAACGGCAAGGCGAGAGGAAACTCAGGATACCGTCCGAATCTCTGCGATGGAGTGCCACCAGAACACGGCGGAGGTAGCGGACGGGAGAAATCAATGCCAGATGCCCCATCCTCCTCAACGCCAGGCACTGCGGCTGAGAGACCCACCATCGACAACTTGTACAGTGAGGAGACACACAGGTTAGGCTCCATCCAAGCGTTCACATGGGCGGATGTGGTAAGGTCAAATACAGACAAACAAAATCACCTCTCAATAATAAACCAGGCTCCTACATCAAATTTGAAAGAAAAGTCAATCTTCCCTACGGACTCGGTACTTGCGGATCCGGATCAAATTATTATGCCCTCCACAAATGAGCTACTGGTCTCAGAAAAATTCCAATTTTTTGGAGAAGAAGGTTTTGATTCTATCCAAATTGAATCAAAGACATTTAGATTTGCGATTAGGAATAATGACATGGTCATCTTTGAAATTAAAAAATCCTCGCTGAACAGGATTAATTTCAAAATGGAGCTGGGACCCCACATCTATCGATTTATCTGCCAACTCACAAACTCAGAAAATTTTACTCACAGGGAAGCTAAACGATTTGGTTACATCGAGGTTACTACAGAATTCAACAAATCAGGCCGATTTCTAAAGATTGCAAGGGAAAAGAGGAGCTTCATTCTAATTCCTATGGGCTCACAAAATTCCAATCTTAAAAGATTCATGGCAATATTCTCTAATTTTGTGGGACTAACTAATTTAGTGCAGGAGGAACCAATGCACTTGGAACAGGTGACATCGGGAGATACTGAAGAACCCTTATCCATTTCCAAACTCATATTTAACTTTGAAATTCAGAAAGCATACACGGAGAAACATCAACCTCAATCTCCACAGAGGCAACCCAAGATACCACTTCTACAGCCTTACTCAGATGCATCTGACAGCTATAACCCTTCAGACGACTCATACTTCTCTGATGATTTTTTGGGATATGCAACAGAATCTGACCGTCGACCACCTATTTCGGAACAGGGGGATATTATAGACTCAGAATTCAACAGAGCAATTTGCCAGAAATCCAAGTTCATTACTTCAGAAAATTGTCTTCCGACTGACAATTTGAACACTCAACTTAAAATCTACAAGAAGTCCCAGAAGAATAAAAGACGCCACAGTATGAGGACTAGATCACAGTCCAAACAATTCCCTTGGGTTTAGTTTTTTCGTTTTTTTTTCTGTTTTTTTTTTTGTAAGGTTGTGTATTTCGCACTGTACCATCTTTTTCCTTATCAATAAAATTTCCCTTTTCTTAAAAAAAAAAAAAAAAAAAAAAACAAACAAACTTTAAACAGATTTTACAGATCCAATCGTGAACCATAAAAGTAGACATAGAATCAGTCACCTCAAACAAAGCAACCTGACTTGCTAAATCTGAAACAGGCAAATTTGATAGAGTCAGAACACTTAAAATCAGAATAATCCGCAGCTCCAACCCCATATTGATGGGGCGGCGGAAAATCTCAACCCCTACAAAGAGGTGAGACGGCCGCTAGGTTTTCAGAGAGAAGCCAGAGTTCTCCTCTATTAATAAACACAATTATATATACCCTTAACTTTTTTTTGAACGGATATACTCCTTATAAATAGTTAAAATAAAATGCAAAAATTCTTCCAATGTTCTTATAAAAGAACAAATTTACCGTTCGAGTAAATTTAAATAGATAAAATAAATTTTAAAAAACACCCAAATAAATTATAAATTCAAAATTTAAAATTTAAAAATAAAGATTTATTTTTGGACCCATAAGCTCCATACCGGTCGAGTACCAGAAAATCATAATCGGACCAAAAAATGTCCCAAAACCAAACGCTGCCCTAAACAAAATCGCCGTGACGCCCATGCCGTCAATACCGCCAATCTATAAAATCTCCAAATCTCAATATACGTTTGCGTGATCAATCGATTCGATCTAAAATCTTCTCCGTGAAACCTACCTTTGCTGCAATGGCCGGAAATGCTAACCTTAATTCGAGGTCCACGGTGTACCTGCAAGACGCCAAAGAGGTTGAGAGCGTGTTCAAGAAGTTCGATGCGAACGGAGACGGTAAGATCTCATCGGAGGAGCTTTCGGGCGTCATGAAGGACCTGGGATCATCCATCTCTTCGGAGGAACTGAAACAGATGATGGATGATATCGACACCGACAAGGACGGATTTATCAATCTGCAGGAGTTCGCCGATTTCTGCAAGGGAGATGGAGACGGTGACGGAGGCTTAAAGGATCTCCGCGAGGCCTTCGATTTCTACGACGCAGACAAAGACGGCTTGATCTCCGTCGCTGAGCTGAAAAGTATCCTCAGCCGCCTGGGCATGGGTTGTAGCGCCGAGGATTGCTCCAATATGATCAGATCCGTGGATTCCGACGAAGACGGCAGCGTTAACTTCGCGGAGTTCAAGCAGATGATGACGAACAAGCAGTAGCCGTCGATACGACAGATTGTTTGTCACGCGCATTCGGGTTTTGGTGGGTGCGGACCTCCGTTATCACTTCCGCGTTAGAATATTAGAGTAATTAATGGAGTACAATAATAATAAGAATAATAATGCTCCGTATTTACTTAGTATTTTAATACCCTACTCTGATTTTTAATCCCATGGAAACCACCTATTTATAGAGCAATTTTCGAGGAATATTTACCTTATTTATTGAAATAATAGTTCCGAGTATAGAAAAAATTAACGAAATATAAAGAGCTCGTTTGGTAGCACGAAAATCGGCTGTTTTTGGCTGATTCTGCTGATATTTATGAAGTTATAGTCGAAGTGGTTGCATTGGCTGATTCGGATGATATAAGAAAAAATATTTTTAAAATATATGTTATTAATAGAATAAAGAAAAAATTATACTACATATTTAAAAATAACTAAAATGGTCATCTACAATATGTTGCCAGAAAAGTAACTTCAACCTTACTTTTTTTGCTTATTACACAATTCAGTGTGCAAAAGTAAAAGTTACGTGTTTAATGAAAAAATTGGTTGATAAGTCTACTAAGCCAAAAAAGAGTGACAACGGCCTCAAATAAAGGAAGATATATTAAAGATACCAAATTACTCCGTATAAAGGCAGTGTTCTAAAAGGCCTTAAAAGGCGCCGCATAGGCGGGCCTAGGCCCAAGGCGAGAACAAAACGACTCGCATATCCTATATGCGTGACAAAAGGCGGCATGGCCCATAAAAAATAAGCTCAAGCCCAACAAATAGCAGGGCTGAGTACTGATAGGCCACGTGCAATACGCATACAAGAGAGATGACGCCCAACGGGTGTCTATTATATATAGCATGTTGAAAGGATGGATGTTTCCTCTAGTTCCGGTGTGGGACGAAGGACAAAGATAGTAAACTCGGCTGTTAATCTCTTAACAACTCGGCTGCACCACATATTTTGAATGTTTGGCATTTCATTAAATACATTTCAATTCTTATTCTATTATATACTCCGTATATACGTAGTATATATTCAATCTAAATGATCAATACTTTTTACTATAATATACTACGTAGTATTATTATATATATATAATATATACGGAGCAAGCACTATAATATTTACTACTACTATTATTGAAGTATTGTTATATGCTTTTAACATTTGTATACTACGTGTATAAAAATGATATAGTATGATGTTTTACAAAATATTTTCTGATATTTCATTTATGTATGAGATTTTTTCAGAGTTATTACTTAGATAAAAATTCATTTACAAAAATATAACTAAAAATCAATACTCCATATAATATAATGTCATATTGTCATGTAATAAGTTTAAAAATTGAACATGCATTAGTATGACTAATATTAATACTATAATAAAATGTCACATTTTTGTAATCTATTTTTATTTTAGTCATAAATATGTACTTATTTTATTATATATTTACTAACATTTCTATAAAAATTAAAAAATAATTAGTAAAAATTGAAACGCCTTTTGGCACCTAGGCCTCGCTTAAACTCGCCTAGGCTTCGAAGGCTTAAGGCTCGGGTATGCCGCCTCTTCACGCCTCACGCCTTTTAGAACACTGTATAAAGGTAGTGGGAACTCGAGAGCCTATATCGTACACCCGGGTGTACATGTACACCCGGTTTTTTTGTAATTATTTTCAAGTTCCAGATGGCGATTCATATAAAAGACAGACAGCCCCTATTTTGATATCACTTTTCCTTCTCCACCGACTCTTCTTCTTCCCACTTCCGGCGGAGCTCACAAACCTGGAAATACCCCACCTCCCATCTCCACCCGATTAGATCTTTTTCTCCTCTCCACGAACACCCATTTCTCTTTCCAATTCCAAGAGTTCGGTTCTTTAGTCTTCAATTGAATTTTGGCCTTCGTCTTTTTCAATGTTTCTCTGCCTTAGGTTGCTTCCCGTCGCTGGTCAAAGCAGCTATAAGCTCGTCAAATTTGATTCAACTATGCCATGTTCTGAGATGATATTGTTTCAGCCAGGGACGTTGTTGGGTTGTTGTTGGCGAATTAGTCAATTATTGGCATGAACAAAAAAACAGTGTTAGATTTACATTTGCAACCTTAGATATACTACGTATATGTACAGTATATACCACATTAGATACTTCGTACATTATACACACTACATCTGCACAATTTATATGCTACCTGAAAAATCATGGCTTCCCTTAAATGAGCAATAGTGTATTTTTAGTGAGCATCTGATATATTGTATTGAGTATTAGAAACCAAATAATGAGCATCACGATTCACGATCTTTGCTTCATAGCTTCTAATTTTTTTTCTTATTTTTTCTTTCATAAAAACTTATTAAATTATATATATAATCCATTCCTATTAATTTCAATATGCGAGTCTAATGTAAATTATTAATTTCATTTTGGTGCACCTTTAATGAGCATTAAACCTATTCTGTTGAGTATTAGGAGTCTAATATTGAGCATTGTGACCTATGCTTCATATTGTTTAATCCACTCTATTAAAATGTCATACCAATTCATATTTCAAAAGTGTCATATTAGATTCACATAAGAGTTAAACTATATACATGGAAGTAGAGATCATGATACTCAATTGCATGTTTCTGATACTCAATAAGGGAGGTTTGATATTCAATGGAAATGTCTTGATGCTCAACTAACAAAGCTTATGATTTTCATATCATTGCTCATTTGGTAAGTAATGTATGTTCATTTTGTGTTGATGTTATGCTCTATTTAAAATGTTATATAATTGCATATTTCAAAATAATTAGACTCCTAATACTCAACATAATAGGCCTGATGCTCATTAAAATTGCATGAATGCTCATTGACCAGAAATTGTGACATACGAATTTAATGTAATATGACACTTTTTAAATATGCATTCATATGACATTTTACATATATGAGCATAAAACAAGTACCAAATAAGCATATATAACTTACACAATATGCATTGATATGAACACTGTAAAATTTGTTAGTTGATTGAAACTCATGACATTTTCCTTGAGTATCGAACATCATCTATTGAGATGAAATTCATTGTTTCTATTAAATGAGTATTAATGAACTTTTAATGAGCATCGGATCAAATTTGTTGAGTATTAGGAGTCTGATATTGAGCATCGAGATCTCTGCTTCATATCTTATATTCATATTCTTTTTCTTATTTTTTCCCTTATAAAAATTATTAAATTATATCTATAACAACTCCTATGAAACTTCAATTTGTGAATATAATGTAATATAGCACATTTGAAATATGAATTGATATGAAATTTTAAAAATGAGCATAAATGAGTATAAATTGAGCATATGTAACTTAGAAAATGAGTATTGATATGAAAATCATAAATTTTTTTAATTGAGCATCAAGACATTTTCATTGAGCATCAAATCTCTTCTATTGAATATTAGAAACATGCAACTTTTGTAGTATGCATTGATATAATTAACATTTTAAAATGAGCATAAATCCAGTACCAAATGAGCATACAAAACGTACCAAATGAGCAATAGTATGGAAATCATAAGCTTTGTTAGTTGAGCATCAATACATTTTCATTGAACATCAAATCTCTTCTATTGAGTATCAGAAGCATGCAATTCAGTATCATGACCTATGCCCCCATGTGAATCTAATATGAAAATTTTGAAATATGCAATAATATGACATTTTAAAATGAGCATAAAACAGTTTCAGATGAATGTACGTAACTTACAAAATGAGCATAAAAACTTCAAAAGCTCGTTAGATTTCTCTAATGTGTTTAATATTCATTTTTGCACATGCATCATAATGACAAACATAATAATGACAAATATAATAATTTTATATTAAAAATAATTTATAGCCTTTCATTTTGGAATTACAAATATAGTTCGGTTTTTTTTAATAATGTTCATCTATGCATATTTATTTTACATTATACTCATTTTAGTATAATACAAAACTCATGTTAATAATTAGCACATGCTGCCTCCGTCCCGGTGGACTTTGTCAAGTGCAAAGTAGGTGAGAAATAAGAATAGTAAAACTGTGTGGTTGAGATTTGTGCAGAGGAGAGAGAAATGTGCAAAACCACAAATTAGTAGCTTTAATAGGAAAGTGACAAAATTTTTTGAGACAACCAAAAAGAAAAAGTTGGCAAAGTCTAATGGGATGGAGGGAGTAATATTTAATAAACTAATAAATATTCTTCTTAAATTAAAAACTGAAAAATAAAAAAATTAATACTTTGAATATAGATCAGAAATTGAAAATTTGAAATCAATGAATTAGGTGGTTAAAAAACAGGAAAAAGAGACGAACAAAAAAAATCTACTCCATATAAAATGCAAAAGAAAATTAGAGACGTAGTGCTCCACTCACGCACGCAATCCACTTAGGAGTTGGGGCGAATTAAGTTGACCGGCTAAAGAGGATACGTAGTCCACTTACGCAGGGAAGCAGAAGAAACGGCCGGAAGAATTTTAGCAAAAATTTACAAAAATACCGGGTGTATACGTACACCCGGGTGTACGATATAAATTGTGCAAACACTCCTGCTTGAGTTGATATTTCTTTGTTGAATTTGAGGTGGAAATTTATGACCTGTTGAATATATTAGGGGTGGGTATAAAAGCAGAACCGAACTGGTACCGAACCGTCCCGTAATGGTACCGAACCGAATATCGGGTATTTAAACGATTATATAGACTTTTGTCCCGTACCGAAACCGTACCGCTTGAAATGGGTATGGGACCGGTACTAAATTTTGAGAACCGAAAAATACCGGACCGAACCGTTTGAAAATAATACATTAGAATTTTTTATATTTTTTCTATACCAATAGATCTTTTTTATAGACCAATAATTTTATAGCCCAAGTATGTATTCATGCATCCCTAAAATAGCTAAATATGTTATATATATATATTGTTATTTTTTCTTTTTAGATAATTTATTTTATCTTTTGGTATGTATTGAAAGAATAATAAAATTTTAGAAATCATTATTGACTACTCATTTCTAGTAATGTAGTGTACATGACTTTTTGTTGTATCGTGGGTGTGCAATTTTACAACTTAATTAATATGGTTTAAATCTTAACTGTCAAGGTTCAACTATAAATTAAATTAGAACTACGGAGTAATATTTAACCTAGAATGTAGAAGAACGTGGAAGATTTCTTTTTTATATTTTCACATGAACTTAGTAAATTAAAGATGATATTTATCTTGTGCGTCATCGTTTTGCTATATTTTTTTTTAGTTGAGTTGCACTATTTGTGTATTTGTGAATTTTAGTACTACGTATGCAATTTCTTGTATTTATATCAACAT